GTTGTGGTTCCGCGCGCACCCCAATGGCGGTGATTGTTGTTGCTTAATACCGTTTTCGTTTTTTTAACGGCAATTAGGCTTGCGTATAGTGTGTTTCGTAAGAAGTTTAAATCATAAATTATGTTATTTGAAAGTTGTTATTTAATACCGTTTTCGGTTTTTTTTAACGGCAATTAGGCTTGCGTAGCCATGCCGAGGTGGCGACGTTGAAGTTTTAGTTTATGTAGCCGAAACCTGTGTGTATCGTAGCCAACTCACGCCCATTTCTTTTTGTGCAAGGGCATTTTGGATTTAGTTTGCCACACGACCCATGCATCATATGAGTCAAGACATGTACCATGAACACATAGCCGAGGCACCACACGGATATATTCTCACTGATAACGCTGCGCTGAAGGTAAAAGCCCAATAGCTGAGGTTATCAGTGCCGCATTTGTAAGCTCAATACCCATTTTTACATACCAATTTACGCCCATCCCTTTTTATGTAAGGGCATCTTGGAATCAGTTTTCGACACGGCCCATGCATCATATGAGTCAAGACATGTATCATGAATACATAGCCGAGGCAAAAAGCCTAATAGCTGAGGTTATTCGTGCCGCATTTGTAAGCCCAATTCCCATTTTTACATACCAATTTACGCCCATCCCTTTTTATGCAAGGGCATCTTGGAATCAGTTTGCGACACGGCCCATGCATCATATGAGTCAAGACATGTATTATGAACACATAGCCGAGGCACCACGCTGCACACGTATTTATATTGCCTCGCAAGAAATAGTAGTTGGTCTCTTATGTTAAATCAGTCACAACGATCAAAAAAGCAAGTTTCGAGTCTTCAGCAACGGTTTATATAACATGTTTCAGTTTACTATCTTCGGTTGTCGGGGTCTAGATAAAGTAGTTCTAGTCGCCGAAACCGAGGTGTTTCGGATTCCGACGGTATTGTCTAAGGTTTGACATTTGTTTAAAATTAGGAAGTTATGTATACTGTGATTTTGTTTCTTGTTAATTCAATTTATTAGTGGAATAATCTAAGTAATGTATACGGTGATTGTGTTACAATTATTACCTTTGTTTGTTTTTGTATTAGAAATGTTCGTGAAATAATGTAAGAAAGTAATGTTGTAAAGAGAGAGATTAAAGGGGATTATCATCAATTGGTTGATCCAATTGGTTAAATTTAATTGTTAGCTGTAATCTAACCACAAATCTTTAAATAATTGCATAAAGTTTTGAGGTTTTCTTTTTTAACTCCACTTTAAAGTAAACCGAAGCTACCAACGTCGAAGCGTCGAACTTCATATCCGAAACTGATGTCGCCGATGTTCAGGTTTATAAACTGATTTAATTAAAGAGGAAGTGTCAAGCAATATGTGATGGCCGAAAGTGGAACTGTACTATCGATGCTAAATCTACTGAAGCATCAAGTCATGTCGAGAACCCTTTTTTTTGTTTTTTTTTTTTTGCGGAAATAGTTTTAATATCAAACTTGGACGACGCGTTACTTGTTAGTAATGTTGTGTAGGACATCATTGGATATTTACATAAGGCCATTATTGTAAAACATTATTAATAAATATGGTAAAAATCGAACTCAATTTAAAAACAATAATCTTGTTGTACAAAAAAAAATATACAAAATATATAATTGTACTGATATATTCGAAGTTATTCTGAAAAAAGTACATTAAAATCATAATATTTACAAAGTTTATCAAACTCTCTCAGAATTAGTTAATACTGTTGTTATTTTTTATGCGGATGACCCAGTTGATCAAAATTACAGATAATATGGTCACATAAGAGCATTGCAAGTAAGATTGCTGATAAAAAACTCCCACATCGGGTACCTGTAAATATAGCATCTCTTTTCAAATCTAATTACGTCATTTTGGTTATATCCCCCTCAAATTTCGGTAACCAATGTTCAGTTTTTTCCATCACGGTTGTTAAATTCTTTTACTCTATAATTAAATCCTCTTTTTCTTTATTTAGTTCCTAAACTATTCCATCTTTCTCTTTCAAACTTCTCCATTATCTCTTTTGTGAAACCTCTGTAACTTCTTCAATTATGATCAAAGGAGGTTTTAGAGAGAGAGAAATGGGGACGTTTGAGAGATAAGATGAATTAATCTAGGAACTAAATAAAGAGAAAGAGGATTTAGTTATAGAGCAGAAGAATTTAACAACTAAGATAGAAAAAGCCGAAAATTGGTTATCTAAATTGGAGGGAGACATAACAAAAAATGATGTCCTTGGATATCGAAAAAAGGTGCTACATTTGCAAACACCCAGTGTGGGAGAATTTGGACGCTGATTTAGATATAATGGACTTTGTTTTGGGTTCCATTGTTGAAAAGAATGAAGGTTTGAGGCAAGATGGTGAAATAGGTGGAGACAGAAGATAGAGGAAACGGTGGCTTAAATAATGGATGAAGTGATTAGGTTAAGAGGAGTGAGAAGGTGAATCGGTGGAATGAAGAAGTGTAATTTGACAGTTCGATGCATGTATCTGGCAATAGGGATATGGAAAAACACTTTGGAAATTCGAAAGTATAAATATAAGAAGTTATTTTCGAAAAGTATTTTTCAGAATCTTATCTTAATTAATATTAATAAGTATCTAAATATTTCGTTTTGACATAAATATAAGAAGATATTTTCAAGAAGTAATCTCTAAAATCTTATTATATTTATTATTATTCATACACAAACAGGTTGTTATGGTAATATCTCTAATCGTTTTATAAAAGTGGTATGTTATCCACTTACCTTTTAAATTAAAAACACGATTAGAACTACCGGAAAACTTTAAAACATAATAGACATAATAGCGCTTAAGAATTTGAAGTTCAAACAGATAATGACCTATTTTTTACTATATATACTACTACACTCATCATCATTCAATAAATCTTAAAATTAATCAGAATACACAGTACATTTATCTCACGAAACATATATATATATATATATATATATATATATATATATATATATATATATATATATATATAAACTTAAAAATCACACTATCTTATTCAATGTATCAGCACCTAAAAATTGCCTATTTATTGTACTCCAACAACACCAAATCAATTTTCTCCCTTTCCTTCTACTCATCTTCTTGCAACCTTTTCAACTGCGCAATACCTTCGTCTGTAACATGCTTCAACCGATTTAAGAACCTAACAAAAGCAGCTACCGCAATTGGTGCTTCGTCAATTGCACTTTGCACACCTTCAGCGACATCCTTCAACACCAAATCAACCCCAGCCTTCTTGCGTAAAACATCCTTTTGCATTTCCATAGTGCCTAATTTCAAAACCTCCAAAATACGATTATGCACTCGACAAAAATCTTCATATTTTTCAATTGCCAACCCAACTTCTTCTGCATCCTCCATTACTATATATTACCAACTGATATATATAATGTCCAACAAAAAAAAGCTTAAATCATTGTCATTATCGAACCTTACATCTTTTCCTTAAAAAAAAACCTCATATTTACAATAAAATTACAAACAACTAACACATAACGCCATCAAAATAAATCTCAACACAAACTCAAATAATCCCAAAATCTTAAAGAGCTATAAGTTCCTCAAATACAAATCCTCTAATAATGTAAACACAATTTACCAAAAATATAATGCTCAGTTTCGACTACCGCACCCAAAACTGAAACCACGAACAAATCCAAACCCCAAAATATAACAACACCCAAATCATATGTAATGGTACCTCAATCTCATTTATCATTTACCAATACCTACAACTCCACATATATACATATATATACATATATATATATATATATATATATATATATATATATATATATATATATATATATATATATATATATATATAAATAACTGATACCACGGCTTAGAAAAATTAAAACAATTTAAAATCAAACTACAATGACAAATAAACAAAGAAAACAGGAAAAGAAAAAACAAAAACATTCAAAATAAAGTCAAATAGTCAAACCCAAGAAGACAAAACGAAGAACAAAACCCCAAACAAACAAATTACAAAAAGAAAACAAATAAACAAATTACAAAAAGAAAAATCGAAACACACAGAACGTAGAAATGACCACGGAAAACGAAACACAGAGAAACAAAGAAAAGAAAAACGAAAGAATAGAAAACTCACTTAATAATAAAGAATGAATGAAAGAAGAAACTGCAATTAAACGAAGCAAAAGAACAAACGTAGGAGAACCGAAAGGCCGCAATGAACAAAGAAATGTCAAGGAGAGAGAAAAAAGATTAATTAAGAAGAAAGAGAAAAAGCGCAATATATATAGTAACGAAATGGGGATGGGGACATTGTAATTAAATAAAAAAAAGCCAGGGTAAAACCGTCAACACACTATGGGCACTGTTCATAGGGAAGGACACATTATGGACACTGTTCATAAGACAAGACCACTCTCAATGGTGAGCAAAAAAATGCTCACCTACTCTCTCTCTACCCACTTTCTCTCTCAACAAATTAATTTTGCTCATGGGCAAATTTTTTTTCACATTTACTCTCCTAATGGTGAGCAAAAAAAATGCCCACCCACCACTCTCTCTCTCTTACTTTTTCAAATACCCCACCATTAATTTCTCTCTCCTACACAACACTTCTTTATTTATTTATTTCATTTATATTTTAACAATGATACTCCAAATAAATAAAAAGTAGTTTAAATTTATGTAACATATTTTTTTTTTATTTTTGTCTGTTTTATCGTTAAAATTTGTCGTAAAATTAAGTACGTTATATAAAAAAATTGTAAAAAAAAACTCAAAATTTGTTAAATGTTTTTATTTATTTTAAAAGCGGTACAATACTAGAAACCAATTACATTTGCAACGTCATGCGTGATTAAACTTAGGAAATAAAATAAACACAACAACTATAAAATAATATTTAGTTGCGTACGGAAATGTAACTACGCCATAGTACTTGGCTTTATTTAAGTCGTCTAATTTCTCCCTAATTACGTGGCCCGTATCGTTGCCAAATATGTTCGACTAAATCACGTTTCAGAGATAGATGAATTTCTCTGTCACGGAGGGAAGCTTTTCGCTGTAGAAATGCGTTAAAGTCAAAGTTGGTAGGTCGGCCTACGTTGAATTCAAACGGTGGTGTTGTAGATGTTGATGCTGGTGTTGATTCTTGTTGATCTTCTTTATAGAAGGCTCTTAGGACTTCGGCTCGAGTGTAGTTGTGGCGCTCATCTTCAACAATCATGTTGTGCATAATGATACATGCTTTCATTATGTCTCGCAGTATGTCCTCATCGTACGCTAGTGACGGTTTTCGTATTATTGCAAATCGAGCTTGCAAAACACCGAATGCTCTTTCAACGTCCTTTCGAGCAGCAGCCTGGTGGTCAGCGAACAATTTATCTTTTTGAAGTTGAGGGGTTGTGATACCCTGAACAAAAGTTGCCCACTTCGGATAAATACCGTCGGCTAAGTAATATGCCATGTTGTATTCATGGCCATTAACGGTAAAATTTACCGGAGGAGCTCGACCATGCAGAACCTCATCGAACACTGGGGAACGGTATAAGACATTAAGGTCATTACAAGATCCAGGAATCCTAAAGAAGGAATGCCATATCCATAAATCATGATCTGCAACGGCTTCCAGTATTAGCGTTGCTTTCTTGTTCCTACCGGCGTACTGCGATTTCCATGCCGTTGGACAGTTCTTCCATTCCTAATGCATGCAATCAATGCTGCCTATCATGCCTGGAAAACCACGCAGTTCATTTTGATGCAGTATTCTAGCCAATTCATCAGCTGTAGGGTTTCCCATGTACTCGGTTCCGAACTGATCAATGACCCCGGTACAAAAACGTTGAAGGGCAACTCGAGTGGTTGACTCACTGATCCGAACGTATTCATCCACGGCGTCCGCAGCCATGCCGTAGCCTAACATTCTTATCGCTGCTGTACATTTTTGGAGAGGTGATAAACCTAACCTTCCAGTTGCATCCCTACGCTGCTGGAAGTAAACATCACCTTCAACGACCTTGTTCATTATACGTACAAACAAAGGTCGTTGCATACGAAATCTTCTTCTAAATTGGGTTGTGTTGTACACAGGATTATCGGAAAAGTAATTATTAAACTACCTGGAATGTCCAATTTCCCTATTTCTTCTATTCGTACCCCCTCTAGGTTTTTTTGAAGTGTGTTGGGATTGTGTTTGGGGCATGAGGACAAATGGTGGTTGGTATGTGAAGAGTTCATCAACAAGTTGATCATATTCTTCAGTATTTGAAGAAGATGAGCTTGAACTTGAGCTTGATGATGGTCTAGAATACATCTCGTATTAATATTGTTACTTGATGAATGGGTGTGGTTGTGGATATGTGCCATGCCTACTATATATAGCAGAAATATCAAATGAATATGTGGTTACAAATCTGAATGACCACACCAAGTAAAGGAATCAAATTTTCAACCACGGAATAGGTATACTATGCTAGTTGACAGTGACAAGTCTGGAGTGCAATTATGTCGGGATAAAGTTAATATAGCAAAACGTGGTTGTACAATGACAAAGATTTATTGATATTATGTCGGTATCAATGACACAAAATTAAAGCAATCTGATAAAGTGAAATCAGAAAAATGTGACTACACAATGACAGAGATTTAAAGCAATTATGTCGGTATGAATGGCAACTTAAATCAACTTGTTAAACAACTTGTCATTCAATATTGGAAAATCAGAATACAAGTGTACATCTTTCTTACATTGAAATTAACCACGCCACTAATACAACTTAAAAATAAAAGGCTAAATTGCGCTTAATAAATAAAATACTACAACCAAACATGCTTAAAAGCCTTGTAATTTACCCAGTAAAAAATTCTTATACGACTCTTCTTCGGGAGTGAGTGGCGTAGGCGAATTCTTCATAGCTTGCACCATATCAAACCAGGTTTTCATCTTATGAATGTCAAGTTCCTCCCTTTTCCTCTACTCCTTGTCTTTTTCAATTTTGATCCTCTCTTCCTTCAGAATGGCCTCCCTCTCGCGAATTGTAGCGAAATCCTTCATTCGTTCGCTAAGCTCAGACGAACCACTTTCTGTTGCTACTGCTTTCCCTTTACGCTTCGCCTTTGCTTTCTTGACACCCTCAGGTTGTTGTAAACCGCCAGATGAAAAACCATCCGTAGGGGTTTCATCCTCTACATCATCTCTGGACCTCTTCCCACTTCCAGCACTACCTTCTTCCTCAGCATCACAAGCGGCTTTTCTTTCCTTCAAGGACATTGACCATCTCAGCTTTGGTCTCCACTTTGGATCCTTGTTAAGCATTTCAATTGCGTGAGGAAAAGTGAAATTGCGACCTTGGGCGACATGAAAAAGCTTCACCGCACTTTTCATACGATCAGCTTCATTGTAACCACTCCCTCCCTCCGGAAGTCTACCTGTTTCATCATAGCAAGATATCCATTGCAGTGTGTCCGCTGCCAACCTTCTCTAGTGCGACGTCAGACTCTTAATAGGCCTTGGCGGAATTATATGCGGCTTCTGCGTATGCAAAGTTTGATATGCTGCGTATACATTGCGCCATAGGCTAGTTGCTTTTTGTCTTGTACTTTTAATAGCATCCTCGCTAATCTGCAAGTACAACCCAATCAGAGCTTCATCTTCCGCAACGGAACAAATACGGGTAGCTCGTGCAGGAACCCGGTTGGGTTCCAACAAGCGAACTGGTGGAGGAGGATACTGCGGCGTCTCTGGTACACTTTCCTCTTCGCTCTCATCGAAGAGTGTGTTACTACCAAGATCAATTTCAGGTGTACGAACTTCATTAGCAGGGTTTTGTAGGGGAACCTCAGTGGGTGTCTGATGCAGTGGAGGTGGTTGCGACGACATATTTCCCATTCTTTGCAAGAACAATTGAAACTCGGGATTAGTTAGGAAATCATCACTAAAACCCGAAAATTGTTGACGGAAATTTGGGTTGTTTGGATCCATTAAAAGATTCTGCATCAAAAAACAAAAGATAAATATCGTTACAAACATTTACTCAAAAAACAAATTAAAATGATAACAAATCCAAAAAAATATCAACAACTTTCTTCAATTGCATAATGCAATTACATTACATGCCATACAATATTTTTTTTTCCTCACAAAATAACATATATACTAATTTTAACACATAACTACATGTACGTATTAAAAAAAATAATTAACCAATACTTGCAACACTTTAAGAACTATAAATTTAGAAATTTATTGAGAAAATATACACAAATTTGTTTAATTACATAATGCAATATAATTTCGTGGCCTATAATATTGATTGTTTTTCAAAAAAGCACATATATACTAATTTTATTACGTAATTACATTTATATATAGCAAAAAAAAAATTAACCAATAATTGCAACACTTTAATAACTACAAATTTAGTTATTTATGGAGAAAATATACACAACTTTGTTTAATTACATAATGTATATTAATTTCGTGGCCTATAATTTTTTTTTCCATAAAATCACATATATACTAATTGTATTACGTAACCACATTTATGTATATAAAAAAAAATAACCAATAATTGCAATATAACTACAAATTTAGAAATTTATGGAGAAAATATACACAACTTTGTTTAATTACATATTGCAATATAATTACATGGCCTACAATTATATTTTTTTTTTAAAAAAAACACATATATACTAATTATATTATATAACTGATTTTAAAAATTAAAAAAAAAAATTATTTACCTAAATATGGCTGAATTCCAACAACAATATTCTTCTACAAATTAAAAATACTTTTAAGAAAATTAAAATGTGGAGGATTTAAAGTGTTTTTACGAAATTATATCAAAATATATCAAAATGCATGTCTATTTATAGAGAATTTAATTTTATGACCGTTGGTAATTTTTTTTTTTTACAAAATATATTTTTCTAAAAATAGATTATAAATAAATAACCGTTGCAAACGGCTACTTTTTTCTGATTGGCTACCCCCCTGCAGTTGCCACGCGTCGCCTCCTCATTTGCTGCCCACCTGCACGCGTCAGACGCACCCACCTTTTTTTTAAAAAATTCCGGAAACTCAAAACGACGCGTTTTGAGTTGCTTTCTTTGAGGCAGCTTCACAAAACGCGTCGTTTTGATGGAGAAAGGGCGAAATTTTTTGAGTGCGTGTGCCAGGTGTGGGCCCCACTTTATTTACTGTTCATCTAAAAAAATGCTCAAGTTTTGAGCTTTTTTGGTTTTGCTCATGAGCTTTTTTCCCCATTTTAACAAATGCTCACCATTGTAAGACTTGATCATTTTTTTTCCTCACCTAAAATGCTCATGAGCAAAAAAAAAAACTCACCATTGCTAGTGCTCTAAGCGAAAGCATAATACCGGTTGCACTGTTCATAACAGAGAGGGGTGAATTCCTCTCTTTTTAAGGGTTATAGATTTAATGTCTTATGACGAGATTTTATTTTGTCACACTCAATTCATTATATTTAGTGAATTATACTCAAAATAAGCTCGTTTTATAACATATTGATTGATGATTTTAATTCCCCTAGTGTTTCTTACAATGGTTTATTTATGTTTTTCAATAGATTAATTTAACGAGCATTCTTCTTTTCAAAAAAAAAAAAAAATTTAATGAGCATTCTATTTATATTATTCTTATTTTAGGGGAAAAAAAAAACCTTAAAAAGTCATTGCTCATTGTGAAAGTGAAATTGAAAGCAAAGAAAGTAAATAAAGAGAAGCCCACTTGACTTTCACACTTGCTGCTTGGAGCAAAGAAGTAAAAGTGGTTGAAAACCCACTAACTCAAAAACCCTCACTGTTGCACGCAAGGAGCAGCAGCAAAACCCACAAGAATACCTAAGTTCTACTGATATAAGGAGCCAAGCCTTACACACGGATACACGAAGAGCAGCTCGAGAGGCGGAAGCAAGCAGCAGCACCTCGCATCGCTGACTGGACCAAGCCTTGAGCAGCGTCCAAGTTCCGAAATTGGAGTTTATTCCTTTTCTCTTTAAGTTTATGCAATTAACAATGTTATACATTATTGATTGTGTTCTATTAATTATGATGTCTGGTAAACTTGTTTATTCTAGGTTAAGGAGTAGTCTTTTATATTTCTATTAATGAATTGAATTATTGGTTGGGTTTGATTTATGTAATTGCAATTTGATAATCTTGTTTTATTTCGTATGATTAATTTGGCCAATTGATTGTATGTTTAAGGTATTGATTTATTAGCGGGAGTGAACTTTCAATACTAGTTCGTGGGATTAACGTCAAGTAGTATAATTTTAGGAATAGTTATACACTTGGGGTGGTCTTTATTAATTCCTATTCTTAATGAGTTTATTTCAATTGTTGTGATCACAAGAATAGACATGAGATTGATTTAAATATACGTTTTATACCTTGGGAGAGGAGATAACATACTATTGGTAATTCAACCGTTGTTATATTATATTTGTTCAACCCTGCAATTAGTTTAATTTCATTATAGAGACTATTTGACGAAACCCAAAATCTAGAAATATTTCTCATTCTTGTCTATCATTTTTATTAGTTTACTACTCTTATCGTTTATTATAGTTTAGTAGTACTTTTCTCCTATTTTCCATCGTCTAAATAATATTTTAGTTTCTTAACTTGGTAATTGTTTAGTCCTCCTTGTGGATATGATACCTTGATCACCCTATATTTACAGTACTTGCATTAGTAGAAAAAACTTAATAGGCACCCCCCCTATAGCACCGGTTCTTGAAAACCGGTGCCAAAATAAATGGGCGGGACTTAAAAATTCATAGTTGGCACCGGTTCTGATTTAAACCGGTGCCAACTACACTATTTAGCACCGGTTCAAACCGGTGCCAACTGGTTTTTTTTTTTAAAAAAAATAAATAAATTAAGAAGGTTAGAGTTGGCACCGGTTTAAAGCGAACCGGTGCCAAATACGCTGATTAGCACCGGTTCAAACCGGTGCCAACTGTTTTTTTTTTTTTTTTAAAAAAAAGAAAAAGG